GCTCTGGACTCCTGTCATGACAATAAGACCTCATCACATATCCCTTTTAAACAGTTTTCTCCCTCATCTGTTTCAGTGCAATAAACATTATTTATCCCATCTTTCTCAGTCCCCCCCAACCTCCAAGGTCAGTCCTGTTTTACAACAGTGGCACTCTGCAGTATTTGTCCTTTTGTGACTGAGATATTTCACTCAGCATGACGTCCTCCAGGGTCACCCGTTTTGAATAATATTACATGAGTTCCTTGTCTTTAAGTGGTGGCATTATTTCATTGCTGCAAAAGTTTTGTGTTATACAATGTTTTTATCCTTTGCACACATCTCTATGAGGCTGATTCAGGCAGGGGCCTGGCAGATGGCTCCGCTTTGAGCTGTGGTTGGGATCAAGTGTGCTGTCGTGTGTTCAGCTCGGGTTCTGACCGGAGGAGGTGCCTCAGGTACCCTGCCAAGCAAGAAGCACAGGGAGACGAATGAAGCAGGGGACGCCCCTTGCGGTGTCAGCTCAGCCCCGACACCGGTACCTGCTCCCTCCTCATGTTGCCTGGGTCACAGCAAAACCACATGGTCAAGCTCAAAGCCAAGGAGCAAGAGAGGACAACGTCCTGTGTGGGGCAGGACTGCAGACTCTCATGACAGAATGCTAGCTACTTGAATAAGTGGAGCCCATGATTCCATGTACCACAGCCATCGCTTTTCATAATAATTCACACTCCTTCCACTGTCAAGTACATTGAGACCATCCAAAGATGCCGAAATTTCTCACCCAATCACAGTTCAAAGGGTATTTGCTCCAGATGTCACGCCTCTTCAGTTGGAAACTGTGAATCTCACAAACTCATGTAAGCTGCTGTCTACCCAGCATACACTGCTGGGGTGGGGACAGGCAAAGGGTGGTACCTCCACCATCCTGCAAAGAATAGGAGGCAGAGGCGATCACTGGCCCCTGGCAGGCCTGAAATCCCACTGGGCAGGGGGGCCAGGTCCCTGCTCTGAGGGTGCTGACAGACCTTGATTAGTCCCAGCTCTACCCCTGGAGCTCAGGTCATTGCCCCCATCTGCCTTGGTTTTCTCTGTGCTCATGTCTGATCGGAAATAACATTGAGGAGCATGGTCTTCCTGGCGGTGCATCATTGTCTTGGCTACTTCCTGCCTTTGAAACTTGGGAGGCGAGAGACGTTGGAAAAGGGCCTCAGTGAATCCAGATGACCATGCCCAGCACAGCACTTGGTGCAAATGTGCTCACCATCCCTGATGACTCTTGGGTCTCCAGGTGCTTCCTAAAGATTGAATTTAGAGCTCGACTCTGGATTTGAGATTGAAACCTACCATTTGATTTGACCTTAAACCCAAACCGATCTCAAAGTCATTGCTGTCCAGTATCTTAACCCCTCTGTGCTTGCCGCTTCCTTTGTAAGTGGGCAATTGTCTTGAGGATTAGATGAGAGAGAGAGAGAGAGAGAGTATCCAGTACCTACCTTTGGCAGCCTTCATTAGGAGCTATGCTGCCAAACCAAAGGCAAGTGTTTCGAATCCACCAGCTGCTCTGTGAGAGAGAGAAGGCAGTCCCCTCCATGGTCATTTACAGCCTCTGAAAACCCACTGGAGGGTCAGCTCTGACTTGGTCTAACTCAAGTGGCAATAATTGAGATTTTTTACAATATTTTTTACATTTATTCAGTTTATAAAAATGTTTCTTGTACCAGAATAAGACTACTGATAATAATTTTATAAAAAGCAACAATATTATTGAAATAATGAAGAAAGAACAGTGTGCCTATTTTAAGTTTGTAGAAATAAATGAACGCTATTAACTTTTTTACTAATATACTAAAAAAACAGTTTTTACAATTTTTTTTAATATTTTTTTTAATTTGAGTTTTTTGAAACAATAGTCTGACATCTGGTAGACACTTAAGAAATGAAAATAATAGTAAGTTAGTAAATGGAAATAATCCTTACTTGCAAACAGCAGAGTGCTGTGGAGAAGTCTCTGGGTGGTACAAGCAGGTAAGCACTTGACTAGAAGCCTAAACTTGACAGATCAAACCAAGCCGGACGGTGCCTCAGAAAGTAGGCGTGGTCATCGGCTTCCCGAAGGTCCTAGCCTTGAACCTCCTTGGCGCTGTTCCGCTCTGCTCTCCTCAAGTCAGATCAACTCCACAGCAACTAACAGCAACCAGAATACACGCTCAGGGCTGTGGTTGGGGTGGTTGATCATCTGAAACGGTCTGGTGGTCTGCTGAAGGGGACCTCCCGAGTGATCATGGCCACGGTTGCTCCACGTGGCCCCGGGAGACCTCATTTGTAACCTGCCCCCTTTGTCACCCTCTTCCTCCCCAGATCATAAGAAAGCAGAAAAATAAAAGCGAGAAGCAAGCGGAAGAGGAGCCAGAGTGGTCACAGCCCCAGGGCCGTGGGGTGAAGGCAGCCCAGGAGGGGACCGCCACCTCCCCCACAGGCCGGCAAGCTGCCCCTGACCTCTGGGTGAGTCCCCGGCGGTGCTGGCCCACCCCACGCAGATGTCCTGCGGGCGACCAGTCAGATCCAGTCTCCCTGTAGACATGGGGATGTCTAAGTTAATGATCTGTAGTATGTAGTGGGCTCACCGGCCCCTTGAAGCTTCCTTAGAGGAGAGAAACTGAGAGAGTGGAGTGGGAGGGGATGGGGAGAGAGAATAAATGCATAAGGGCTATTAAAGACTGTGGCGATGACGTTGTACAGAGCCGCTTAGGTAAGACTAAAGTACACACAGTGTATTTGAGAGGGGGAGAGAGAGAGGCAGAGAGGGAGGGAGGAAGGGAGAGAGAGAAAGAGACAGAGAGACAGAGACAGACAGACCTGTTGGTAAGAATCTGCGGTGCAATCCCAAATGCACACAGTTTGAATCCGCCAGCTACTCTGTGGAAGGATAGACAATCTTCTCCTGTGCAATTAAGTGCCTCTGAAAACCTGCTGGAGGTTCAACTATGGGTTGGTTCTGACTTGATGGTACACAACAATAACTATATAGAGATAGAGATAGATAGAGATATGCATATACATACATACATACATACATACGTGTGTGTGTGTGTGTGTGTGTGTTATTGTTGTTGAGTACTGTCGAATTGGAACCAACTCACAGCTGACTCTCCCTCCAGCAAGTTTTCAGAGACAGTAAATCACACAGGAGGAGATTGTTCATCATTCTCCCGTGGAGCAGCTGGTGGATTTGAACCGCATACCTTTGGGTTGGCAGCATAATTCCTTACAACTAAGACACGGAGAACATAAATTCAACAAAACATTTGGCATCACAATAGTCTGTATGTGCTATATAGTTTAGTGACAGTCTGTATTTTTTAAAATTTCTTGTGAAATTCATTGTACTGAATCCTTTGGGGGCAAAAATAACCTCCTGAGAGCCAAGCATATAGTCTCCCCTCAGGTCAGTTGATTGTTGGAAACTAAGAATTGGCAGTAAGAAGAGGCCCCATCGTGTTCGGAATGGTCACATCTAAGCGTAGCCAGGAAGGAGAAGTCGGAGTCTGAGGCAGAATCGCACAGGACAGCGATACAAGATCCTGCCCACGGCCCCCAGGTTTGGCTGTTTGCGATGAAGCCGTTGGGTCTGTAAGGCCCTGTGTTGCTTGCATTGGTCTCCTGTGTAAGTAAGTCACCCAAGCAGGACATGGTGCACAGAGCTGGGAAAGGAGCTGAGCAGACCTTGGGGCACAGGAACAGGGTTTTCTGGGGTTCAGCTGGAAAGCAAGGGACTGGTTGGCGTCCAAGATGCCCAGCGCCACAATGGAGCATGTGGCAGACCACCAGCAGATGGCATTGAAAACTGGAAAGTGACCAATGTGAAAAGCGGTGTCCATATTTGTCATGCTTCTCTGAGTCAACACTCTTGGCACCAGCAGCTAGGAAATCAAAAGGCATATTACGATGGGAAAGTCTGCTCTTAGAGACCTCTCCAAAGTACTGAAGAGCAGTGATGTCACTCTGGAGACTAAGGTGCACCTGATACAGTCCATGGTCTTTGCAATCACTTGCTGTGCATCAGAGAGTTGGACAATATCCAGGGAGGATAGAAGGAGAATTGATGCCTTTGAGCTGTGGTGCTGGAGAAGAGTATGGAGGGTATCATGGACTGCTAAGAAAATGAACAGGTTCATCCTAGAGAGGGTTAAAACAGGCTGCTCCTTGGAGGCAAGGATTCTGAAACTTTGTCTGACATACTTTGGACGTGTTGTAAGGAGGGACTGACAATCCTTGGAGAGGGACGTCATGCTTGGGAGGGTGGAGGGATGGTGCAGGAGAGGACGGCCCTCTTTGAGGTGGATTGATTCAGTGACTGAGGTAATGGGGGTAGGCATGTCAGAGACAGTGGGATTGGCACAGGATAGAGCCGGGTTTAGGGCTGTTGTACATAGGGTCACTCGATGGCACACAATAACAACACCACCTCTGAGTCATCCAGTGACACCCGTACCCCCGAGTGAGCAGATTGGAAAGGACGTGCGCAAAGCAGCCTGTGGCACCTGCTCAGTTCCAGAAATGGTGTCCAGCAGCCTCACCTGCACTGAATCTCCCCAGGTTCCCACCAGCTGCTGGGAGGGTGGGTCTCGCAAGCAGCATCCTTATGACATTATGAAGAGACGTCACAGTGGGCGCTGAATGACGCCTTTGATTTCTCAGCAGGACCTTCCCTCATCAGCCTGCTCTCAGCTGGTTTTACAGCTTGCCGCCATGCACTTGGCACCAAGGAGGACAGACTGGGTAGAAGACGCAGTCCCTGCCCTACAGGACACCACCGTCTGGCTAGCAGGGTACGCGGGTGGCCTGGTTAAGACTGGAAACAAGGAGATGATAAAATGTGACAGCTCGTAACAAGGCGTTTGGCTGAGAGGCTGAGCCTGGCAATGGAGTCAGAAGTGAGAGGAGGGCGCATCTCTCAGCCAGGAAGCCAGGAAGGCCACCACCTGGGCCTGGCAGGGCCAGGTGCCCTTCAAGTCACCCGTCATTCAGCACCCACCCTGTTGGCCCTACCTCTCCTGGGCTGTTGCTGCCTTCGTGATTCTGCCCTGTCATACTTCCTACAAACAGAAAAGTCACGTTTCAGGGCCTATAGGAAGAGGTTCCCCTCCTTCTCCAGGCCCAGCTGGGAGCCAAGGGCTTGGAGGAAAGCACAGAAATGCAGGGCCCTGCTGTGACTTCCTGGGTAGGACTCTGGCTTTGGGCTGAGCTGGCTCTGTGACCCTGAGCTATGAATGGAGTGGAGTTATTCTCTGATGGGACCTGGTGGTGAAGTGGATTATGAATTAGGCGACTGACTGGAAGGTCAGCTGTTTGAATCCCCCGGCTTCTCAGGTGCAGAAAGGTGTGACGGAAGCGACAGTCTTGTGAAGTGTGAGAATTGATGGCAGCCCCCGGAGACAGCCCTGAGTGTCCATGTGCGGCCAACACAGGGTCTGTTGGCCTCCTGCTCTGCACGTGCTGTCTTGGTTGTCACACAGGCAGAGGCTGCCACAGGTACAAGGGGCTTCTCATCTGCTGGGCGAGATCACATATACAACAAGCACGTGTACAAACTACAGGGATTCTTATAAAAGAAGAGAGAACTAGACCTGCTGTCATCGCAGCTATTCTCAGTAGGGGGCAGCACTCTCTGTAGGACGGAGTAGAATGTTCCTGTAAAAAGTTTCTGAGGCTGTAAATCTTCATGGAAGCCAAGTGCCCCATCTTTCTGTCACAGAGAAGCTGGTGGAGTGAAATTGTTGACCTTTTTTTAACCAGCCTCGTCTTCATCCACTTCAGCACCGTGTCTCATCCGAAGATAACTCAATTTACTGAACTGACTCATAGCTGATCTTCTGGCAGGGCTTTTCTGGAGGCTGTAAATCACACGGGAGGAGACTGCACATCATTCTTCAGAGGAACTACTGGTAGTGTCGAACCATCAGAGAGGCACTGGCTTGTGTCTCTAAAGTAAAGCCAAGTCCCAGCGGAAGAGGCCACCAGAGCTCCCTGGGTAGCAAGTTGGAGCAGCTAAAAGCCTGATGGGGAGGCATTCAGGGAAGATGTTCAACCATGGCTTGAAAGATGAGTACCTTGGGTTCAGTGGCAGGAAAAGCATTCCCACAGAGGGAACAGCACACACGTAAGCTCTGAGCAAAGAACTACTTGGTGTGTTCAAGGGACATAGTGGCAGCATGGGGCTGGATAATAGTGACTGAGAGGTGAAGAGGCAGGTGACTAGGTATGTGAACAGGCCACTTAGCGGACAGGCATGATAATTTTTTTTTCCTTAGTAACTTTACTTTAGGGAGCTCTGGGAGGAGCTCTAGGAAGCAGGAGTGGCATCCACTTCCTAAATAACACACCTCCAGAAACCCTCTGAACTTTGATAAATGTCGATAGTTGTAGAGGGACTTCAAGCCTTTTGTTCATAGGGCTGCTATGAGTCATGCTGGACTCGAAGACAGTCAACAACAACAGTAGGAGCTCTGGTGGCCTAGTGTTAAAAAGCTGTGCTGCAATCCCGAAGGCACATAGTTCAAAACCAGCTGCAGGAGAAGGATGGACAGTCTCCTCCCATGTGTTTAACCACCTCTGAAAACCTGCCAAAGGGTCAGCTATGGGTCGTTTCCAACTCGATGGTACCCAACAAAGACGAGTGACTGAATAGTAAGGAGTTACGCTGCCAACCCAAGGGCAGGCAGTTCTAATCCACCATGTGCTCCGATTCAGTGGCACATATCAGCCTAACATAACATAACATATCATAACATAACATAACATAACATATTGTCAAGGTAGAAGCTTCTGGGGAGTGCACGTCGTTATCTCAGCGGCTGCCTGAGAGGGTGTAGGTCCCAGTCCTCCCAGAGGTGCTTCAGAGGAAGACCTGATGTTTATTTATGAACGGTCCACCACTGAACACCTTATAACCATCTAAAAGCAGATTGACAGCAACAACTTAAGATAGGGACCTGATCTGAGGGGACTGGGTGGAGAGACAGCACAGAAGAAGCAATGAGGGAGGTTGAGAAGGTAATCAGCATCCTGGAATTGTAGATTAGAAATTGTCAAATCGGTCTGTGTATCGTTGCTTGTGGCACCAACTAACAGCTAAAGACATTTCTAAAAACAAACCTTCATGGGGCTCAGTTCTGCTCTGACGCACTGGAGCGGCTGTGAGTCGAAACTGGCTCCACAGTAATTTCTTTTATACTATTAAAGAAGGCCTGTAAGTTACAGGGCAAACCTCCTCCTGCTGTGGCCAGTCACCGAGGCTTAAAGAGCAGCGGCGGTCTGGGGATCACTGACACGCCAGCTCCAGATCTCAAGCTGTTCTGTCCTCTGCCGGCCTGGCCCCACTTCAGGCTCAGGAAGGTGCCCTCTCCCCAGCCTGCCCCTCCCTGTCCCTCCTGCGCGCGCACACACACACACACACACACACGTCATCATCTTGCTTCTCTTCAGGTCTCAGCTCGCCCACT